TAATTGGTCAAATCATATGTACAGAATCATCTCCACTTGTAGAAAAATGGTACTCTCCATTTTGTTCCAAATGATTATTTCGCATTCTCTAATTACTTTTAAAGTTTACTTTCAAATAATTTGTGCTTGAGTCAATTTCATCTCGTCAATCCAATAAAAAAAAAGTACTAGAGGCGAAACAACAACAAGAAAATTAGTCGTGTTTAGTTGTAAAAAAACGGTGCATCGTTCCTAACTTATGGTTACATGTATTAAAAATTCCTTGAATCAGAAGCATTCCGTCATCTCTTTAGCATACAGCTAGAAAATAGCTTTTCATGTAATTCTAATAATGCTGCATTTACAGGAAGGTCGCACTCCTGACTATTATCGAAGAAATGCAGTCATCGATCTCAAAATGATAAAAGAAAGGGATGAAGATTACGATGTTGTAAGTGAAGAGATGCTCGATGGAGAAGCACCGATGTTGGATAGCCCTGGCAGTGCTGATAGTGGATCGGAGAGGTGATCCGTAGACAATTCAGATTTCCGTAGTTTCTGTACCAAAAAAGCCGTTCCGAATTCCTATTTCAATTTGGAGTTGATAAATTTCCAAGTAGTTTCAGTTCTGTTATTGATTCGGCTCGTCCCCAAGAAGAAGACGATGAAATGGACCGCCATCGTTTCGAGAAGATGTTGCACGGACGCACCGATTTACCCACTTCGGAAAATGGAATTTATCTAGCGAGAACAGTGGCTCCAGTGCTTACAAAAGCACTTGCCGAGGTCTGCTTGACTCATAAACAAACAAAATCTCTTGCAATAAAGTCTATTTTAGGTGTTATTGCGTCGTCCTGCTGACCCGATCGGCTTCATTTCGGATTATCTGCAGAAATATCACAGCGAGCTCCCTCATCGCTCAAATGGGAAGCTTCTATAATAATGATAGTGTCTATTTGATTCTCTTGAGGGAACAATATTTATCAACTAGTTGATTTTTTAGAATTCAGAGCAACTTTCTTGATTGTTAACAGTACTTATTGTGATCTCATGACAAATTGTATATAATTTATGGAAGTGCTGGTAATTTTTTCAGATTGATGGACGGATGGAGCGTCTATTTTGCGCACTTTCTATCACACAAGAGTCGCGATTGTATAGAAGTAGCAATAAAGAACTAATACTTTCCGTATTATAATTGTAAAACCTTAGATTTGAAGACCTTAGGCACGCTATCACAACTTTGGAAGCAAAACCAGATGTAAAATTGTGAAATTGTGAAAATTAACACGAAAAATGTGAAGGTTGTTTTTGGCGGATAGAACGCCTTCATTTCAGTAAAAACGCACTCAGCAAGATTCGATTCTTCGACAATAATATGTCTTCAGAATCTGGAAATTTTATTGGTAGCGCTGAATTTGACCGAACCCAGTATAATATTAGGTTGTCCCGAAAGTAATGTCGTTTCATT